ATTTTTGCTTCGGATCTTTCAACCTTTCGCCATGCTTCCTTTCTCTCGGTGTTCGGTTGTCGGAGTCGCCTCTCCAAATCTGCAGGATCGGTGAACAAAGATCCACAGTCCTTGTCGTCAACGTTGTAAAGCCATCCTCGTCATTCATCGACTGAAACTGAGCTGTAAAGCCGTTCAGGGGGTGATTGAGCACTCACCACGATTGCAACCGGTGCTCAGTTTGACCTTTACTAAATAAAGGACAGCAGCCCTGGCTATTCCATATGCGGTAGGCAGATACAGAGTTGCCAAGCGGCGCCATCTTGAATCCAGCATCACAAATTGGGCCGTGTCTTGCCCTGGCACAAAAGGAAAAGGTATATATGTGAGAAGGATGTGTTTGGGCCTCTTTAATAAGGCCACCTAAAAATGGGAGGCTTAATAGAGGGACCCAAGTGCCTGATCTTGATTAAATTGGATGCTGCATATCCAGTGAGAGATGCAAAAACAAGGTCGATCAGTGTAGGACTTCCCATGCAGTGTGCGGTGCACGGTGGAGTGCTGTGCAATATGCTCGTCTTCTTTTGTATGATTATGTTTGAAGCAAATACCATTATATAGTTATATGTTGTATCAGACTCTGAGGAAAAAAAGACTGAGCCTAAGCTTTAGGAAAGCTTATGCCGAGCAGCCATTCATTGAGATTCGGATGCCTGCATTCTTGGTGTCCTTACGCAAACACAGTGTGACCACAAAAGCGTTAAAATAAAGAACAAACACGTATATAACTTCTCGAAAGAGGAGAGCGGTCTGAGGGCCACACTTCATCTCCCTTGGGATCCACTTGTTGACCCCATGGCAGAACCAGTGCCAGCAAATAGACCAAAAGCCTAGCACGAACAGCTCAAAAAACTATGTTGCGAAGTGTCCTTGAAAAAATGCACTTGAAACTAGAGCTTGCAAGAATAAGCATGGAACAGTTGAACAGCATTCTTGAATTTGTGTTTTATCTTGCTACATGTGGAGAAACACGTTCGGCTAATGTTTGTGTTCTTGGGGCCTTAGTGTGCCACTGTGTGCAGCCATTGCGAAACGATCCAAGCTGCAGAGCTGCACTGCTTAGCAGATTGGGTAACTTAGCAGATTGTGTTTGTCAGTGTTTGAGAACTTTGGTCAATTTGATCACGATGATAGCTGAAGGCGAAATATTGATCGCAAACACTGTAGTTGGAAGCCACATTAAATCAAGATGTCTTCTCAACGGCCTCTTCTCAAGCCTAATAGTGTTTGCTAAGCTGGTACTGTTCACTTGTTCTGGAGCTGTTCACCCGCCACTTCGAAAGTCCAGGTATTGTCTTTCAAGCTTTATAGCCGGGCATCCTTTCATGTGCCCAGCTGAGATCAGGAAATGGCCACGCGAGCGCACGTGTGCACAGTTTGCACATGTCCAAATCGCGTAGAGTTTTTTCTACTAGTAACAAGAAGCTAGTAGGTTGGATGACACTACTACTAGCAACAAGAAGCTACTAGGTTGGAGGCCATTGCTAATAGGTTGGGGGCCATTGCTTCTAGGTTGGAGCTTTCCAGCGGATTTAGGGTCCACTTTCCACGGATTGGCCTTCCAGCTTTCTCCAGCGGTGCACATTCATCGGGTTTTCCAGCTCCTCGATGCAGAAAAAACAGAATGCTTCTCTGTCATTACATGAAAAAAATATTAGACAAGGTGAGTGCTAAACTGAAAAATGGAACCTGCCTAGCAAGATCAGAGTTCTTTGCAAAGAATACTCGTACTCAAATACTCGGATTTGATTTCCACGAGTCGCGTCCTCTGACAAGGCTTTCACCTAGCACAGAACCATATCGAAACAAACAAAGTCATCGAAACATCTAAAGCATGTTCCTTTTCAAACACTGCCTTCGTTCTTTCTTGAAGCAACTCACGCTGAAGCTGGAAGACCTGCGAACAAAATCGGTCGACAAGGGCAACCATATATCATGCATTCGCAACCAGGAGCGTCGGAAGTGAAAAATAGGACCGAGCAGTAAGGTGTCATTAGCAGTTAAGTCATGCTAAGTGAGTTCCGGTAAATGGATTGGTACCAACTTAGATACGAAAAAAAAGAAGGTAAAGGGCCTCAATTCTATGGCCCCTTGCAAAATTTGACCTGATTGAAGGTGCCCTCATATTTTTCCTGATATTTCCTAGAATAAGAATAAACATGTAAACGGTCGTCATCTATATGTCACCCACCACTTTCACAAGCGGCAGTCCTAAGGCTAAGGTACGCGCGGCATATTCAAACCGACTGGAAAAAATGATTAAAGAAAATGTGGTCAAATGCTAATCAACCATCAGCCTCTCGCTTGAGGTCATCAATGTTCAGCACCTGCAAGCACTCAACACAACCAAAAGGAAAAAAAAATGCCGTTTAGGATCTCCAACTACACGTGTCATCTTCAACTCGGAGAGAAGCTGTCTCTCCAAATCTAAACCACTAAGAAAGATAAATAGCATAAGAAATGTTGAACCGTAACCATGCTGAACAATCGCTTACAAAGAAAGATTTAAGAGTTTGCAAAAAAAAACACTGTCCAGCCGGCATCAAAGATCGACCCGGAGTGCTGGCACCTGCTGCTTGCCAATGTGCAACTCTCGTTTCAGCTGCGCTAGCTTGATGGAAAGTGCACGAGACTCCTGAGCGGAGAAAAGCACTTCTGGGCCTGTGCTTGCCGAGAATGGGCACAGGTATCCTGTTTTTTGTCTTATGATTTTTTTGACACCTTTTGGCTTTGCATTGACCTTTCTAGTCCAAGTTTCGTAACTTTTTTTTTTACAAGAATATTTGGCTGCAAGCATTCAGATCAAATACGGGCCTGCATTTTTTTCACCGCAAGTTGAAATGATTCAATTGTGAAAATGTGGCCCGGCCAGGGTGGCCCACGCCACTTGTACCGCTGGCACATACCCTTCCAGGATATTCGATTCCTACCCATACCGGGTAGCTTAACCCCATTAAAGTGGTCAAGGGGATACCAAAAGCCGGTCCTAAGACTAGGTTGGAGTAGGAAAGAATATATAAAGCAGCATCCGGCAATTGCAGTCGCATGGCCACTGCAGAGTGGTATCAGTGCCCCAGAATTCGCGCGCATTTCGCCAAACCGACAGCTGCAAAAGAACGCCAAGCCGACAGCTGCAAAAGAACTGACGCACCGCAAATGTGGAGACGACGTGACTTATAATCGTGTAAGGCAGGCGTAAGAGGATGAAGGGAACAGGCACATGATGGAATCGAAACTCGTGGGCCTGATACCACCGGTCATGAACTCCTTGTCGGCTGATTCCATCCGACCAATTGTCTTTTGACCGGGCCCACTCAAAAACGCTCCACAGTGCATAGAGCAGTGCATGGATACGTCCTGCCATGGAGTCCAACTCCGGGTTGTTGCTACGTCCCCTGACCAGGGACATCAACGCAGCGATGTTGTCGCAACCCCTGACAGGAGCGAGCCTGGCTGGCTGTAAAAATCAGACCAACATAAACTGTCAAAAGTTCCACTTGCGCGAGCTTGGTAGGATGGTCAGACCATAAGTCGAAGAGCGTACTCTCAACGGTAACCACATATAGGCATCGCACTGGTCGTCGGCAGAACCTGGACGGGGTTCATCCTGCGCTGCATCAGAGGTGGGAGGCAATCACCCGGTCTGGGCAGCCTCGTGCATCAAGTCAGTGACCTTGGTCAACAGGCGATCCCTCGCCCAAAAGCGGACCGGACGACTGAGGTGGCAGGCACTGACATCATGGATGAGGTCAAGGAAATTGGACTGGCTCTGCATTGGCTGAAAAGGTGAACCTAAGTGGCCAACTGGTAATGAGCTGCTGAGCGGAACCTTTCACACTGCCGAGGTCTTGGACAGTCAAGTCATCAAAGTACATGCTATCAAGTCATCAAAGTACATGCTAGCAACAGAATCCCAGGCGTCGACAAGCTGCTTGGAAGAAGCATGGGAAACGGTTGAAGGAGCACACGGCATTGGGCAGACCAAAAAGTGAACCGTAGCACCGACGAAAACGAGGTTCCGCAGGTCCACGATCATGGGGACGTGCCTGTCAGGTCGAATCTGTCCACTGCCCGAGGGCGAGGCGCTCCGTGTCGGATAACTTCACAAGGCCAGCTAAAGTTGGAAGAACGCGTCGACATGAATACGAGCTCAAATTCTCAGCCTCAAGAACCTCAGCAAAATAGGGGACACCATGGCGAACGCAGCGAAATAACATAGGCCAGCGCGGGTGCGTCGTAGAGAACTCAAGGGCGCCGAGCAGGTGTGCGATCATGCCCAGCCCCAATGCTGCGGTCTGGGACTGGCCCTGGGCAAGCCGAGTCCTCCGGACCGGAGCAGCTTTGGACGTTTCTGACAAGTGCAAAGGACCCGCAAATTCCTGATCATCCAGCCCAGGGAGGTGTAGATCAGTGTAGGTCCCTGATGTTCTCGCGCGAACGTGGCCAAGGCATGGGCGTCAGGGATACGAAGCCCCATGTGGTCCATGAAGCGCACAAGGTCCTTCCAGGTGTGCACCACCTTTTTGATCGTTGCGGCCCCGGTAGGGGCGCAAAACTTTTCCAGCCTGTTGCCATCCCTCTCGAATAAGGAGGGAGGCGACACCTCCCCCACCTGACTGGTGTTGAGGGGCAGCCCGAGATGAAGAAGACGATGGAGCAATCGCAGCCACACTGGGCTTGGGCGGGCGGACTCGCGACGCGCGAGCTCCCAGCCACTGCCCGGCCAGCACCTGCGAGGGCCTCATCGTAGGAGGTGTATAAGAAGGCCAGGTCGCTCGCCTTCTCCATGCCCATGGACTTGTACCACTCCGTGAGCTTGTCCTGCTCGGCAGCGTGCAAACGTACCAGATCCTCCATGGCACGAAAAGGCAAAGAAAAATGTACAAGGAACTCCTGCAGAGTCGCTGCGTCCTTTTCCTGTGAGAGAGACACTCCCACACTTTTGGCTTGAGCCACAAGTTTCAGGGAGTGTGATTGAATTGACTCACATCAAATAATTCTTCATCACAGACCCTGCCTGCCTTAAATGCATGAATATGACTTGAACCTTTTTCATTGCGTTTCTCCCTCCACGCCTCCAAGCGTTGCTTGTAAGTAAGCTCTCCATTCTGTAGCGTACGCTGCTGGATCCTGCCATGTGTCACACTCTTATCTTGGCACTTAGAGCCGACTCTGTTCACTTGACCCACTCGACCTGACCGATGACTTCTTTACTGTACAATCACTGTTCCTCGACCGCTTTGGTCTGCCATTAAATTCGCCAAACATGCAAAGCATGACTTTATCTTCTCGTACTGAAGCGCCAGCTCATCGTTTCGATGGATCAGCTGGGTGCCAAGCCTCCAAAAGCAAATAGAATTGAATTTTAAAAGCAAGTATTCAAAATAGAGGTGTGCGTCACATAACTCGTTTTGGACCCTGTACAGTCGCTTTACAACCGATTTCGGCACCCTGTCCAAGCTTCCCGACACATCTCTCTCACTGATCGTTTCTTCATATTTCTTCTTTTGTTCTGAGAGCGCGAGCGGCGAAGCACAAATAACTGTTCAATGTGTACAAACTGTGTATGTATACCAAAAATACAAAAATGCCTTTTCAAGGCTCCGGGAGTCCATAATCTTAGTGCCTACTTCAAGAATAGCATGGGCTTCGAAACCATCTCACCGGGCTGCCCTGCGCTTTCGTCGATCCTCCTCCTCCAGTATCCTGCCGGAAAATGATGGAAAAGGTGCTGCAACTACACCTGCTGCAGTGATACAGAGTTTCTTTGGTTCCAACTTTAATGTTCGAGCAGCTAAAGAATCGATGTTGTACACTTTGCTGTCCTCGACTCCAGCTTTTTGATCTCGGCCTGAAGCAGCCATCAAAGGTTTTGTCCAGAATGCTCTGAAATCGAAACACAAATCCAACGCTGGGCGTTCGCCTGCTGCGTGTCCTTGTGGCTGTTGAGGCTTTGCTGCCGCCGCTTTGCCCTGAAACCACGGCAAGTGCACAAGCTCCGTCGATGGGCTTGCACAAGAATTCAACTCCCTCGCGAAATGGAATGTAGGAAACCGGGAAACTGGATTGCAATTTCGCGCCTCTCCATCTGGTCTTTAAAGAATTCGCACCTGAGCTAGCTTTCATGGATGCGATCATCTAAGTTGTCACTGGAAGATGCTCATATCAGGTCAGTACTAAAGTCTGACAGGCTTCAGTAAGTTGATGCAAACAAATTCTGCGGCCCAAACTCTTTCTGCATTCTGTTGTGAGCATGATGCCCCTGGCAGTCTCAACAAGCACGTCCAATCCACCGTTTGTACTGACTTGTGCTTTCGTACAGCAAGGTTTCTTCAAGGAAATCAACAAACAAAACTCTTCCATTTGTCAAGTTGTGGAATAGCAGAGGGCTGTCAACTCCAAGGCACCCTCTTGAGACGCTCCTCCTTCTCTTTGATCTCCTGAGTTCTCTCAATCAATTAGCAAGCAAAAATTTGCATCTTAGAAAGAATGATTCAGAATGATGCCAAAATGATCCAATCAAGTATATATATTGAATGCAATGCCAGAAGCAGAGAAAATTGTCTCATGCTTACAACATAAGGGAATCATCTGCCCTGCAGTGTGAGATGTGTCACTGACAATCTGTCTCCTCTTTCAACTGCTCAATTTGGTGGGACATGATCTTGAACTTGCGCTTCATCTCAGCAATCTCGTCCTCGGGAAATCTTGAGCCAGGCCCTGATCTGATCGGTTATTGCGGAAGAAAACTTACATTTGAACACGTTGTGCGTGTGGCTGTGGCTGTGCGTTGTGTGTGTGTTTTGTGTGTGTGTGTTTCGTGTGTTGTGTGTGTTGTGGTTTTGGTTCATGGCAACAACTTTGCTCCTGTGACTCCACGAGCTTCTTGGAGTACAAGTTTCTATCGGTGCGGACAGCCTCGACACGCCCAGCGCTGGATGCGAAGTCACAATGTTTCACCATAC